TGTGTGTGGGTGTGTGTGGTATATGTGTGAGCGGGGTAAATACGTTTGATTACTGTCAAGTATTCTAACTTGGAATGAGAGCGTGTGTCGCAAGGTGTTTAGGTGAGGGTCCAAAATCAGTGAACTCTTCATATGAAATTTTTTGCTTAAACTGTGGAAGTAACTTAGTAGACTAAATGATCTTTAAGGATTTCACTTACAAAACTAACTTTGATTTTAATTTGGCATATTTAAATCTTAACTAACGCTTAATAACCTATGATTTTCTACAACATTACAAGGGATGTGCCTAAATTAATTGCCAAAACGGAGTTAGTTGTAAACATAGTTTGTAAAGTTGGGGAGTAAGAATTGCTCCATCTTCCTTTGCCCCAGGCAGAAGGATTCCTAGAACTAGGGATTTAGCTTTCTTTGGCTCACATCTCAGGGAATTCACTTGTATTTGCCAACTGAATATAGCTAAAACGAAGTACTCACGCTTTTCTTCTTTTCTGGCCACCAATTTTTATGTGAAAATTACTGATTTCATTCTCATTCTTACCGTCATTCATCTTCTCGTAACACTAAACATGCAAGGGGTTTAATTTTATCAGTAGTGCCTATAGTCATGTTAAACTCATGTACAGCATCTCATCCTATACCGCTTCAGCCATCACTCACAGAAAGTCTCCACAAAGACCTGTTGTTGTTCCTACTGTCGATCCACCCTAAAGCAAAAAAACCAGTTTCTAAACTCCATGCACATCATCTTGTAAATCAAGGATGAACAGGTTCAGAAATTGGATAGCAGATAAACAAACAAGAACACCATAACGAATTGGCTGCCTAGATACAAGCAGGAGAATGTATCAAATAATATAGTAAAGTCATATCCATATCACTAAAATTCGGCAGTAATGAAATAAATGTTCAACTGGGGTCAAGAATCCAATTAGAAAGTTGTTATATCCATTCATATTGTTCATACAGTTCAAAGTCATTGGTTTTTTTCTTATTATTGTTAGAGTTAAGAAAAATATAAGTAGGGCCGGGGGTTGTAGTGGCTCACGCTGTAAGTCCGGTACACTCTGGGAGGAGGCTGAGGGCGGGCTTATCGCTCACGGTCAGGATTCGAAACCAGCAAGAGCGAGACCTGTCTCTACTAAAAATAGAAAGAAATTAAATTAATTGGTGAACTGAAATATATAGAAAAAATTAAGGCGGCATGGTGGCATTATGCCTGTAGTCCCAGCTACTAGGGGAGGCTGAGGCCAGCTAGGATACTTGGCCAGGGTTTGAGGTTGCTGGTGGAGCCTAGGCTGCGCCACGGCCACTCCACTCTAGCCTGAGACAAACAAAGCGGAGACTCTGTTCTCAAAAAAAAAAAAAAAATTGAAGGGAAAAGAGCAATATAAGTAATGCTGTTTAATAAGATATTCTATGCAACAAGAGAACAGTTAAAAACAAAAAATGAGAATTTTGGTTCTGGTGTTTCTTAGCCAGACCTGTGGTATGATGACCAGGTACAAGGATGAGAGGAAGGAGAGTTTGGTGTGTAAGTACAGATTCCCTTCTTTCTGGCAAACAGGTGGTAGGACCAGAGTAAGCGGAAGAAATGTATAGCGGATGACATGCAGGGCTGGCGTTGGCTGAGCTCACACTGTAATCCTAGCATCGGCGGATGGGCAAGGCTTGGGTGGATTGGCCTCAAGGTCAGGAGTTCGAAACCAGGCCTGAGCAAGGGGAGGTGGAGACGCCTGTCTTGACTATAATAAAAATTAATTCCAACTGATTTATTATATAAAATAGCCACGTCTGCGCCCCCCCTGCCTTATCCCAGCTACTTGGGGCTCAGGCAGCAGATTGGCTTGAGCCCAGGAGTTTGAGGGTCTGCTGTAAGCTAGGTTGATTGGCCACGCACTCATCTACTAGCCTGGCCAACAAAAGTGAGACTCGTCTCAAAAAAAAAAAAAAAGAAAAAAGAAATATAAGACATGAAACTTATTTTCTCCAGGACTTTATGTCCAAAAGGAAGATACACCCAGCACATAATTCATTAAGTAACAGAATATATTTCCACGACAGGAGTTAAACTCATGCATCGAATATATTTGCAGCTAATTTATGGATTTGAGAATACCCCTGAAAATTAATATTTCTCTTGATTAAATGTTTTTTCTCAAATATTTATTTGTTTAAATTTTCAGGAATATTAAGTAAGCACTGTTCGAAAGTTTTATTTCTTTCCAAAAATGAATTGTCTAAACGATTGTAGCTTTAACTTACTTCAAATAGCTTAACAAAAGATCTGCATCTTGTATGTTTCTTCCCCACTTGAGAAATTATTAATAAAAAAGGAACAAAAGAAGCAAAGAAAATTTAAAATGTTCCTCTATTCATTATTCCAACAATAGGCAAAGACGAAGCTTCCATAGCCCCAATTAGAGGAACTCTTGAGTATTCTGTGAAGATAGAGTACTGAATCAAATGAGTAAGATAAAACTTTACATGAAACATAGACATTGACAATTTTTTCCCTGTACTCCTCCTTTCCCAAACTTTGTGAAAAAAATTAAACACAACAAAGTTTCCTCTTCATAACAAAGCCTTTTCCCACCCCTTCATATACACATCCACATAAATACTCTCTCTTAATATATTGAAAGAAACATCAGATCTCCGTACGGCCCTAACTTATACACTCAAAAAACACTCAATTCTCTCCAAAAACCCACCATATAAACGACCACTACTAACAATAACATGCACAAAAGAAAAATAATCTCTGCCAGCTTCTCCCTCACTCTCCTTCATTTCAATCTATGCCTACTCTAAAACAAAGTGAACCATCATTGTACCGCAAGCAACTACTCTGTTTTTCCTATTTAAATTCACACTCAGACTTATTCCTAAAGATTGCAATTATACAACATCAATACCAAACAAAATAAGGAGCATAGTGTTTCTATTCTTTTTTTTTATTGAGACAGAGCTATACACTGTGCCCTGTCACCGCCCAGAAAGACCTACTAAAAATACTCCACGTGGGGTCAAAAGGGGACCATGCTGAAAGAGAATGAGCGCCCAAGAGAAAAAAGGCACAATGCAAGAAAAAAGGACGAAGACCCCAAGTCAAAAATGGTTGATCCAAGTCTACTCCATTACCTCTGGTCATAGGTTCAATAAAGCATAACAGAAAAAACAAAAAGGAAAAATGACAATCATGAAAAAATCACATGATAGGAAAAACGAGTAGACCAGGATGATTGTCCGCTCTGGGGCAATCACGCCCCAACATACAGAAGCTCATCTCTCTCGCCCCTATAGGGAAGCTGTATTGTGAACGAACTCCAAAACCAACTGGACAGAGCTGGCCAAGTAACCCAATTAGCAGATTACAACTGGAGACCAATTCCGTGGTACCGACTCCATGGAATGCATTCTATCTCGAGCATATACAGCCTGGCAATCTCGCGCGCAAACAGCCCACACCTGCTGACAAAAAGAACCACTACTGGACACCCAGTCAATTCCTCAAGGGAGCCTCTTCGCGGGTAGACTTATGGGTACTTCCTCGAAACAGATATGATGACGCCATAAGACGTGCAGTGACTAGTGGGACCTGACTCACCCCAGCAAAAAACCACACATTACCAAAACATACTCACTGGGATCAAAGTCGATCTTCCTAGCCACTCAGCCTCCCAAGTGGGACATACAGGCATGCACCACCATGCCCGGCTAAATATTCTAATATATGTTAGTTGGCCAATTAATTTCTATTTATAGTAGAATAGTAGAGACGGGTCTCGCTCTTGCTCAGGCTGGTTTTGAACTCCTGACCTTGAGCAATCCACCCGCCTCGGCCTCCCAGAATGCTAGGATTACAGACGTGAGCCACCGCGTCCGGCCTAGGTTTTCTTTTTTATTATTACATTTTCAGTGAGGTATAATTTACATACAGTAAAATGTACATATCTTAAATGTACAGTTTGAATTTTAACAAACGTATAAATTAAGATCAATGGGGAGAACTTTCTCAAAATGTATCTGCCAGGAGGTTAAAAAGTTTTCTAGGGCTGGGTGCGGTGGCTCACGCCTATAATCCTAGTACTCTGGGAGGCCGAGGCAGGAGGATTACTTGAGGTCAGGAGTTGGAAGCCAGCCTGAGCAAGAGCGAGACCCTGTCTCTACTAAAAATAGAAAGAAATTAATTGGCTAAATAAAACTATATTGAAAAAAATTAGCCAGGCATGTGGTGCATGCCTGTAGTCCCAGCTACTCGGGAGGCTGAGGCAGAAGGATTGCTTAAGCCCAGGAGTTTGAGACTAACGCTGCGGCACTCTAGCCAGGGCAACAGAGTGAGACTCTCTCTCAAAAAAAAAAAAAAAAAAGTTTTCTAGGTGATTCTGAGCTGCACTCACTTAAGAAGCATTGCCTTTGTAAAAACCAAATTGAGTACTGTACATAAAAATACATAATATATCATGAAATGTTATGCAGATTAAAGTTTGATTATTATTATTTTTAATGTTGAATTTCTCCTGTGCTTTTTTATGGGGTTTTCGATGCTGCCTCACCACTGAAATTCTCAATGTGTTTTTTCTATTTGTTTTTAAGAAAATTAACGCAAAACTTCATGATGGTGTATGTCAGCGCTGTAAAGAAGTTCTTGAATGGCGTGTAAAATACAGCAAATACAAACCATTATCAAAACCTAAAAAATGGTGAGTTCAGTTTTTAAATTACCTTACTGGTAATGTATATATCATAGTTTATTATTTCATTTTCAAAATTGTAGCCAAATAAATATTAAAGTAAATAAAGAAAAATTTCCATTCTCCCATGTAGAATTTCATCTTGCATGCTGAATCTTGGTTTGTGAAGGCAGACAGATTAAAAAAGTAGATTCAGGGACCCATTTGTTACAACAGAGGGGTCCATTCGTCATTCTGTGGCAAAAATATCTTGCTTTTACTCTATGAACCTACATCTTGCTCTTGCTCTGTAAACCTTTCTTGTCCTTCCTTAATAAACTTCATTTCACACTTTAAAAAAAAAAAGATAAATTCAAGGCTGGCATGGTAGCCCACACCTGTAATCATAGCACCCTGAGAGGCCAATATGTGAAGATCTCTTGAGGTCAGGAGTTAAAGATCAGCATGAACAAGAGCTGAGACACTGTCTCTATAAAAAAAAGAAAAATTAGGTACGTGTAGTGTCAGGTGCCTGTAGTCCCAGCTACCCAGGAAGCTGAGGCAGGAGGATCGCTTGAGCCCAAGAGTTGGAGGTTGCAATGAACCATGCTGATCCCACTGTACTCTAGCCAGGGCAACAGTGTGGGACTCAAAAAAAAAAACTAGATTCAACATTCCCTGCTTCATTCTTCCATAAATAAATAATGCAGCATTTTTTATAAAACCCATTTATTTATAAAAGGTAGGTTGGGACCAAGAGGAAACAGTTTTGTAAAATACTATCTCCCACTGATAAGATAACTTTATTTACCATAGATTGTCTTTACCAGTTCCTAAAAGGGGTCTGACTTGTTAATTCAACTAATGAAGATTACTAAAATAGCTTACATTGAGTATCATAAATGAATCATTAGGTTGATAACTTACAATTTCATTCGTTTGGAGATGTAGGTTGAAATAAAAAGATACTGGACTTTGTTTCTGATTCTTTAGTTTCTAACCCTTCTACAATTCTGAAGTTCTCTTAAATCATCAGCCTTATGTGCATCTCCTGTACAGCTTCCTAACATCTTATACCCAGTAAAATAAGGATAATATTGGAGGGTAATTGCTACATGAAAGAGAAAGTGATAATCTTAAGTAAAAATTAGCATTGTTCCTTTTACATTATGAAATTTAATTTGGTGATCTATATAGTAGCTATTGAGAACAAATTTGCTCATTGTTGCTTTATTTTCCTTTTAGCTATTTAGTAGTTGCATCTTCCTTGAACATAGTCCCTCTTTCTATGGGAAGAAATTTTACTTAAAGCAGCAGTCCCCAACCTTTTTGGCACCAGGGACTAGTTTCATGGAAGACAATTTTTCTACAGGAGACAATTTTTCTACAGACAGTAGGAGTAGTGGGGACTGGGAGCTCAGGCAGGGATACAGAACAACGGGGAGCAGCTGTAAATACAGATGAAGCTTTGCTTGCTCTCTGTGAAGCTCTGGGACCCAATTCCTAATAGGCCTTGGAGCATAAGCAGTCATTGGCCTGGGGGTTGAAGACCACAGACTTAAAGTTTAGAAAGTCAGTCCAAATAGGTATAACTTTTGGTGTTTATTTCTATTGAAAAATTGTCAGCCTTTTGGCAAATCTAAAACTCAAGGTATAATTTGTTTACATCAATATTTAATAGCTTTCAGTGTTTTAATTTGGGCAGTTGTTTTGCCTAAGGTGCTTCTTTTTATTTTATTTCTTTTCTTGAGACTGGGTCTTGCTCTGTCACCCAGGCTGGAGTGCAGTGGCACAATTATAGCTCACTGTAGCCTTGAACTCTTCAGAGCAAGCAATCCTTCTGCCTCAGCCTCCGGAGTAGCTAGGACAACAGATGCCTGCCACAATGCCTGGCTAATTTTTCTTTTTTTTTTTTTTCTTATAGAGACAGTCTCTCACTATGTTGCCAAGGTATATCTCGAAGTCTTAGCTTTAAGCAATCCTCCCATCTTGGCTTCCCAAAGTGCTGGGATTATAGGCATGAGCCACGATGACCATCCAGATGCTTCTTTTTAATACTGAAAGGTGAAAGATTCAAGGAAGGATAAACTAACTTAAGCTCTTTAGGTTTTGTCTGTTTGCTTTTCTTTATTACCCTTTCAGAGCAGAATTTTTAGTATTTGTTACAGGTATAGTTGACCCTCCTTTTAAATAGCTTTACAAAGATCTCTCTCTGATCTTTCAGTCTTTACTTCTTATTCTCCATCATTGCCTCAAAAAAAAAAAAATAACCACTTTTAAACAAGTCTAATGAGTTTTATACTCACTGGTCCAAATTAATAGAAGGGAAATTTGGCAAGTGTTTGCACTATAAAATGTTAAATTTCCATGAATGAATTAACTGTGTCTGTACTATAGTACTTGGATACTGGTTGAACAATAAATCATGTTTTAATTAATAGGCCTAATATAAGGTTTGAAGCTCTTTGAATATTTTAAATAAGTCATTATTTCTACAAAGGTATTTTAAGATTTCAACATCAATTTCTATTTTCTCTTCCTAGTATTATTTCCTAAAAGAATTTGAAATATAATACAGTAATAAACATTTATATGGCCACAGTACTTTAATAAATTAGTGCTGTGTAACAAAAGAAATCATTTAAAAATGTTCCTGCCTTATCCATTATCTGTATTTTAATATCCTATCTTTAATATGTACTACATTCTATATGTTTGTCTTCATTACAAATGTGCCAGTATGTAAAAGATCATATCAGTTATGGTAAATTTTCCAAATGCTATATTTTGCTGTAGAATTTCTGAACTGATTTGTTCTAGACAGCTTTTGGGCTTTACCTCTTTTTGTATATTACTTATAATCTTAATATTTTTATGACTCTAGAAGAGTTTGCATGATTTAAGTCCTAGAACGACAAATATTTTATTCAGAAGGACAAATATTTTATTCAGAAGGACAGACTCAACAAACAATGCTAGTTTAAAAACTAAGTAAAAGGAAACAGTTTTAGTAGCAAATCTTATAATTAGTTTTTTAGGTTTATAACACATGAACCTTTAAGAATGGGTTGGATGTGAACACATACACCTGAAGACCAGCAACTGTGTCCTACCTTAGAGTCATTGAAGTCCCTGAAGTCAGGGTAGTTTATGGTGATGTTGCCACTACCTGGGCAGTACAGTGATCCAGATGCCTTCAAGGGGCTTCAAAGGTGACAAGGAGATGAGGGCTAAAGGGGACCTCAAGAACTGCTGTTCTATATCACACTGAGGCAGATGAGGTTAGCCACACACTAGTTCACAATGAATACAAAACAAAGGAAATGCTATATTGTACAAAATACCAAGCTACAGATAGCAAAGACATTAAAAAGCTTAAAGGGGCCAGGCGCCCTGCATCTCACACCTGTAATCCCTGGGAGGGATTACAGCACCCTGGGAGGCTGAGGCTGGCAGATCATTTGAGCTCAGCAGTTCAAGACCAGCCTGAGCAAGGGTGAGACCCTATATCTAGCAAAAATAGAAAAAAATTAGCTGGGCATGGTGGCACATGTAGTCCCAGTTACTTGGGAGGCCGAGGCAGAAGAATTGCTTGAGCCCAGGAGTTTTAGGTTGCTGTGAGCTAGGCTGATGGCATGATGGCATGGCACTCTAGCTCAGGGAACATAGTTGAGCCTCTGTCACAAAAAACAAAAAAGCTTAAAGGAAGATTTCTAGGAATAAAAAAACCCAAACTTTATGCTCACTGGTTCAAATTAGCAGTAGGGAAATTTGGCAACTGTTAGCACTATAAAACTTTAGATTTCCATGAAGGAATTAACTGTGTTCTATACCACAGTATAGAACAAGCTAATGCGAAAAAAAATTGTAGCTCATGAGAGACTATGAAATTACTAGTCAAAACAAGGTCTTGTATGGGAGGGGGAAAAATACACTTTCCTCAGCTAAGGCTCTGTAACAAAAAACAGATTAACAAGCAAAAACCATAACAGATGTATTTAATATAAGTTGTAATGTGACACTTCATAAGATCAAAAGCCTTCATAAGAAAATGAAAATCCAAAGAAACAGGTAAACTGAGTGTTTTTATGCCAGGTTTGATGAAGAGTGGAAAATTGTGGGAAAATGTGATAGGACAAAGGAGTATGAGCCAAGAGTAGTAAGCTGGGGGACACTTAGCAAGACCTGTTCATTCAGATTTTTCTCACTGTCCCTCGATCTTTAGAATTCACAATTGCGAAGATGTGCCATTAACCCAAATGCCCATCAATTCATGAGTGGATTAACAAAATGTGGTGTATATATACCATGGAATGCTACTCAGCCATGAAGGAAGGATGACTTAATGCCTTTTGCAACAATGTAGATGGAACTGGAGACTCTTATCCTAAGTGAAGTCTCTAAAGAATGGAAAAACAAATACCACATGTACTTGCTATTAAATTGGAACTAACTGATGAACACACATGTACACAGAAGGAAGTATAACGCAATGGGAATCAACCAGGGGGAAGGAGGGGGTGGGCAGAAACCTACTTAACAAGGATTTTACCTACTTTAACAAGGCCTACTTCAGGAGAAAGTCAGAGGGTTCTTCCTGCACCTGCCGTTTCTCAGATTTCTTCAGCTTAATATATTCATTATTCCAAGGTGCTGTATTTTGGGGTAGCATAACCCAATCAGTCTGAACATATTACTTAGGAGGTTACAAGCCTGACCTAGAACATCATGAATTTCAGATTGTCCTGAACATAGGTATATATCAGGTATATTGGAGAACCTAGATTTCAAACTCTAATCCAGTATTAACAGTGTTATAGAAAGTATAACTCTCTTATATTCACCTTGCTTTTTGTGTGTATTAAGACTTGACCTTGACTGGGCATGGGTAGCTCACGCCTATAATCATAACACTCTGGGAGGAGGTCAAGGTGGGAGGATCGTTCATTCGAGTTCAGGAGTTTGAGGCCAGCCTGAGCAAGAGTGAGACCCCATCTCTACTCAAAATAGAAAGAAATTAGCTGGACAAC